TAGGTAGCTGCCTTTTGTTTTAATAGAGGCGGGCAATGGACTTTGGTTGATGGGCAAAGAATGGATAATCGTGTCGTACGTTTTAGTCTGTATCTCCGGATTGCTTGTGTAAACGAGGAAACGATTTCGCACGATGCTAGGCGAATGTACTGTGTACGATTTGAGCTCAAGTTGGATGAGTTACGCGTAGTAAATCGTAGGTATTATAAAGCTAGTAAATGACGAATTTCCCTTGTTTATTGATGTCACACTCCTTCCCTATTATCTACTCCTGATATATATAATATATATAGGGTTAGGGTTAGTCAGAAATAGCTAAACGAGCCAGGTCAAACAGAGGTCAGGGGGTCATAGACCCTACGAGCGTTATTAGCAGTATATTATTAGTATTGAACGGCGAACTGCATACATGTGTACCGCACGGTTAGTAACTGCTCAAAAGCACAACCCGCTCTGTTCCACGGCACAGGCATTTGGACGTTGGAGCATTTCAAATAACAACATATTGGAAAAAATGCACGACATGTGAAATACTTTCAAAGTGCTCTTTCTTTCGCCTATTATAGGTAACAGTGTCCCGTAATTGCAGTTAGAACGCTTCTCTGGGCCTGCATGCAACACACAATTTCACCGCACACATGCGACTGTGTACAAACTTACAGAAAGAAAGAATGAAAAAATAAGAATATATATATATTTCTGTTGTTTGTTAACAGTGGTGTGCATGCGGTGAGGTAGTGTTACAGGGCAGCATTTGAATTTCATTTACATGAAATTATTAGTCACTAGACAATTATATACTTAAACATTGAGACTTATGTAGTAATTAATTCATGACATTTCATGTTTATTTACCATCATTTTATTATTGAAACGTTCCAATTATAGTGCATGCTGTTGCAGATGTTTTGTTCAACATGTAAAATAAGTTCTTAAATGTAGGTTCTATATATATGTACCTAGCAGTAGCAGTAATGTCATTGTAATTTATCAACCACTGTGCTATTTCTGGAGAGTAATCTTAGAAATGTGCTGACTAGGGTGAATCTGTAACTCGGGGCGAGTGCAACCCTTGCCACTCCCCCTCCCCATAACTCAGTCTAGTGCGCATGTGCTACAACTAGCCACGGTATTTGTAACGCCGGCCCATATTAGTCTAAACAGTTTACTTAGTAATCGACTGAGTGTCAAGTCGACCACCAATAATTGACGTCTCCCGCAGTATCGTGCTACTGCTAGAACAGGGCGAGACTGACTAAACCACTAGAAGTTTCATAGCTTAGGCATGCCGGTTACAGGTAAGCAATTTCTTTAAGACATGTAGCTTAAATAGCCTAATGATAATCTCCCAAATTATTGTAATATGTGTACAATGAATCGTCAGCGGATTCATCTCATGTATGTAACGTTCATGGTTGTAATACAATCTCGATGGATAGATGACAATGAAATATCATAATAAATATTAACAGGAGTGAATAATAATATATATATTATTATTCACTCCTGACAATAATAAGTCAAGTGGCCATAGGTTATATGACTTAGGTGTGATTTACAATGAAACTTGTCTGAACAGGCTGTGGGTGTTATAATGAGTGTTGCCCAATTAAATCGTTTCTCTTGCTGTTGAAATTACAAGTACCCCTCGAGGAGGAAAATCAGTGTCTCAGCGGTGTCCGCTTTGTGCTCAAAGGCATATATCACCTCGAAGGCAGCAGGTCCTGACAAAGTTCCCCTGATGTTATCTAGGCTGGTGATTGAGTTTTTGCACAAGTTTGTAAAACTCGATTTAAATTTGTAAGCCATTTCACTATATCATATATGTTCACCGTCGATACATTTTTGTGTTCGCATGGCCACACTTATTGACGCTCATAGGGTCTATGTCCCCCAGGGTACTATCGGAAGGTACCCTGGGTACGGTTCGATATATCGGAACGTACCCTGGTAACTATCTGATATGGTTAGGGTTAGGGTTCGGGAGTAGGCGTAATTGACTCCCTAGATTCGGCGAGGTACGTTCCGGCATATTAGATAGTACCAGGGTACTAGTGTTGTCAATCGGTTGTAATTTCGTAATCGATCATCGGTTGGACCCAAGTAACCGATGATCGGTTATAATCGGTTACTAGGGGTGTTGAATGCCTGCGTGTGCGTAACGTCGTGTGCATGTATGTGCTTGTTTAGCCCTGTTTACTACTGTGTGTATAATACATGTATGTTAATAAAGGATAACTTGTATAGTAGCGATGATATCACTGATTCTCATCACTTTTCCAAGTTTTCTTGTTTTGCATTTATTTCGATTTTTTTTTCCGATGAAATCGATTATGGATTTTAATAACCAAGCGCTTGGTTCGAGCCACTGTTCAACCGATGATTGAGTATAATCGATGATCGTGACATCACTACAGGGTACCCTCCGATAGTACACTGGGGAACATAGACCCTCTCAGCCTTACTGACCTCGATATATTTAGAGCATGCTCTTGAGTGCCGCAATGTCAGCAAATTCTGCTGAGTTTGCACACACTAATCAACACTGGCATGCAAACGTTTACATTGCACACACTTGTGGACTTGAGACTTGGGAACTATAGTCTAACGAAAGCTATGGTTGGCGTCTTGGCGAGGGGTGATATTCCGTGATCGCAGCACGATATCATCTGCCTAGCAACGATATCATCTGCCTAGCAACTCCCTAGTCAAGTCACTGGGTGACTGTGGGTGATACAAATATGCAATCTTGTATTGCAAATATACAATAGTAAGTTAATGCATTTGTCCCGTCCACTGCGTTCGTAACTAGAATGTTGTTTGGTCGATGACATCATGCCTGTTCGTAGAACTCAAGCACAGGATAAGGGATGTTGCTACGTGTGTGGAAATCGTGTAATAACGTGTGTACGATATTGGCCCAAAATAAAGACAAATGGCAACTACTGGGGGACTTTTGCTATTCGCCCAGTCAGCCAGTCGAATAACATGATCCTTATTAGTATGGTAATTCGGAAAAACCTGTCATTCATTATTCACCCGGTGGTGTGTTTCTGAGAGCCGGGATTCTGGCAAACCTTAACCTGGATTTCATCCTCGTCGATTTTCTGTACTCTTCTTATTGACAATGCAGCACCCCGTGGTCATTACTAAGACACCGCATTAATGAAAACCACTGAGCGGTAGTTTACAATAATGAAGTCTAGCGCATTATCTCCTTTTCGTGTGTGCAAGGTAATTTACGAGAAGTTAGGGTCCTCTCTAATCCAAATTTGCAATGGTAAATAACGCAAAAACGTCTCTTACGATACACTATTGTTTTCGTGAATACTACGTTCTTAATGCAGGACATACATCATACGTGATGAGCTCTGTAAGTTCGTGAAATACATGGTAGGAGAAGGCAGCGGTGGGCTGAGGGCAATGGCAACGACCGGGCGCTGCACATGATGTGTATGATGGGGGAAGGGAAGAAGAAGCCTACTGTTAGTACCATGTGTAGGTTTAAGTAACACTGAATGGTATGGACTTAGAGGACTGAATGGAATGGTTTCTATTGTTTTGTCATTACCGAGATGTTTGATGACGTGTTCGTCTGTGTTTATCGCGCTAACGTCGGCCGTTGTTTTTCGTTCGTAGGCGTATCCCGCCGCCATCCCCCATCGCATCAAATGGACGAGTCCGAAGCGGGCGGCTCCGGCAACGTCCGGGAGGTCGAGGAGGAGAGTTCCTGCTGCATGATGCGCTTCCTCCATTACACCGTCGTGCCGCTGCTACTCATGCTCACCACGCCCAACTTCTCCGTCTTGCTCGCCGGCTACGTCGGCCACTATCACTCCGACTACCAGCAGGCGCTCGGCGACGGACTCTCCAAGTTCTTCTGGACGAGTTGGGGAGCGGCGGGCGTCGGCGACTGGGAGACGTGGTCGTTCCTCCTCGTCTTCTCCATCTACGGACTTCTCTCCCAGTTGGTTCTCGGCGGGGAGGAGTACACGGGACCGGCGACAAAGTCGGGGCACGTGCCGCGGTACCGCCACTCGGGCTTCCGTTATTTCTTGCTCACCGCAGTCATAATGGCCGTCCTCGTCGGATCTGACGCCTTCAGTGGGTGGTATTGGTACAACAAGTTGCCACGCTTCGCCGGGGCCTTAAATCTCTATGGGTTTGTGTTCTGTATATTCTTGTACGTAAAGGGGCGGTTGTCGCCCTCGCCGGGAGAGTGCGGAAGTTCCGGAAACTTCATATTCGATTATTACTGGGGGTTGGAACTATATCCTAGAATGCTAGGTAATAGGATAGACCTCAAGATGGCGACGAATAACAGGTTCGGCATGATGATGTGGGCGCTGGTGGTGTGGGTTTGCTGGAAGGCTCAGGTTGAGCACAGCGGGTGGAACTGGGCGATGGCCACTTCTGCCGTCCTGCAAACTATCTACATCGGTAAATTCTACTGGTGGGAAGATGGTTACATGAACAGCATCGACATCATCATGGATCGTGCAGGTTATTACATCTGCTGGGGATGCATTGTCTTTGTGCCAATTTTCTATACGAGTACCAGCCTCTACCTGACCGAACGGTCGCCCGACATGCCGCTCTGGGGCGCCATACTGATTTTGACAGCAGGACTTGCGATGGTCGGCCTGAATTATTGGGCCGACCAGCAGCGACGGGAGGCCAGGAAGACGAACGGAGACTGCACGATCTGGTTTCGAAAGCCGACAGTGGTCGTCGCCAAGTACAGCACGCAGGACGGCGAGGCGAAAGAGAGCCTGCTGCTGGCGTCGGGCTTCTGGGGCTTGAGCCGGCACATCAACTACCTGTTCGAGGTGCTCGCCGCCTTCTGCTGGGAATTACCGAGCCTGTTCTTCAGCATCATTCCCTACCTGTACGTCATGTTCCTGATGGTGCTGCTCCTGCATCGGAGCCACCGCGACGAGTTGAAGTGCAAGCAAAAGTACGGAAAGCACTGGGACGAGTACTGCAGGGTGTCGCGGTACAGGATTGTGCCGTTCGTGTTCTAGGGGAGAATCGGTTTCACCATCGAATGGCGAATTACTGAAAAGAAATTATAGTCGTGCAACGAAGCAGCACTGTAATGGTGTTTAGTGCCTGGTGTGTGTGTGCGTGTGTGTGTGTGTGTGTGTGCGTGCGTGCGTGCGTGCGTGCGTGCGTGCGTGTGTGTGTGTGCGTTAGCGACTTTAGTTATACCTTTAGTTATATACATATTGTTACACCGTGATATATCGTAGAATATTCACGTAAGATGAGCAGGTGAATTGAATAACGGTTTATTGTAATGAGTTTTATGTATTTAAATTTTATGTATTAAATCATTTAGACCAGATAATAGATGTAGTAACATGTCACAGTGCAAAATCAAGGTCATGATACCAAGTTATTGTATAAGACTTGTGTAGGTCTTATGCACTCTTTATGTTCACATTTGTTATAGCACTCTAGACATTATTGATCGTATTGCATTATGGCAGGTGCAAACACCAGATCAGAATGCATTAGTGGTAACCTACTGTAACTTTAAATATTTAATGTTCCATTGTAGGGATAATTTTAGTATCTTTGCTTGGAGACTGCATATAACCAAGAGTAGATAATAACACATTATTATCTACTCTTGATATAACATGATCAAGATGCAACTGTTTACGGAGATTGTGAGGGTTGTACATTTGACTTAGTGTAAAGTCCAAAATTTTCTGCTTTACATATCCAAAATTCCGCTTTGTAAATTTGGCAATTTTCCAACTTACAGCATACTATTAACTATTTACTTGCCTCATTGTAGGCGCCCCTCGATGTCCCCATTGAATACTTTGTCTCTTTTTAGAGCGGGCCGTGCAGAGGCTTGTGAGACAACAAGTTTCTGTTTCTATTACTGTTGTAGTACGTTGCAACTTGCAGTATCCAAAATTGGCATTGAGGCAACGGAATCGGGAGAGTGCTAATTATTTTAGAATTGATGTTGGCTGAGCTTAGAGTCTATGTAAATGTTAATTCAAGTGTGAAAATTGACTGCATTGCAGTAGCGGGAATTGTCCATGAAAATTTCCGATCAGGTTATGCAATCCGATTGTTATGATGCAGATGGGAGATCAATCATAGGCCTACTACATGTGTTATTATGGTGAAATATTAATTTCGTGAGTTTATTATTCTTTATTAAGATGAATTTAAAGCAGATTTTCATCTTATTATTTTTTTTTCAGTTTTTATTTAATTAAATTTCGTTTTTTGTTATTTTTGGAGGTTTTTGTAAAAATTATTTTCCAAAACTGCGTTTTTCGCGATTCACGCAAATTCCGCGATTTTCACGAATATTCCGCAACGCGGAGGACTTTGGACGTTAACTTTGGCGAAAGTGTTTGGCGAAAGTGCAATGTACCACTTGTAAAATGTACCAATTAATGGACATACCATTTTAGTTTTGTAACTAAATTAAAATATTACCATATATATAGTATTATTATATAATATATACAAATTTTTTAACTTGTATCTGTTTATTGTGGGAATTATATATAGCATGATATAGGAATACACAAATCAAGTTGATTTACATTATATGATCATCAGTCAATTCAAGAAAATAAACTGAATTATCATATCATAAACATGGCAATGAGACATTATTGTGAACATTGCTTTACAATGTTCTACTATCATCTAAACAATATCAAAAATTTGTCAAAACAAAGTACAGTCAACAAACTCGCTTTTAAAATTCGTACCAGACAGGACCACAGCATTTTCTATAAATGACGTAATCAACGAATTAGACTTAATTCGTATTTTTAACGAATTCTATTTAATCCGTAGAAACCACGAAATAGATACATAATTCGTGTAAATGAAAGCCGACGGCCGTGTGTCGATTTATGAATGAAAGTTTTTACAAAGTTATTTGTACATAGCTGAACAGCTGGATCGCGCGTACGCACTTGCCGTATACTACATAATATTTATGCATGTTACACAGAAGCTATGGAAAATAACATACATGTATTTGTTCTACATGTATAAAGATTATTATATTGAAGTTTACGCACATTCTATATTGAGCAAATCTCGGTTAAATTTTATTTCATTTCAAACTTGGACAAATACAGTACGTAGGCCCGTAGGGTTCCACTTGCTATCACACAGAACGGAGACACAGCGACCGGTTTATGTACAATTGACCTTTGGCAAAAGTTCGCGCATCTCGCGCATGCTCAACTACGAACTGGCTTATTGATTTTAGTTGTTCAGCGAGTGGCAGTGTTTATAAATATTCTCAAAGATAAAATGTTGCTTGCATAAACAAACATCCCCTACGAATTACGCGTGTCATTTTTAATTGAATAATGTTAATTGAACCAGAGAATTTTGTACGAATTACGAATTATACAACGGAAATTAAAGGGAATAAAGAAGAGAAATATTTGGACCATATGCTTTTGTACGAATTAGTCATTCTACGAATAAAGTGATGACGAATTAAGCGAGGTTGACTGTACTTGCATGCACATCGTAAACACTCACATTCACCGCTTCTTCTCATCTTCCATCCTTTCCTTCAAGCACTTTGAAACGATTCTATCGAAACTACTCAGGTAGAACAGAGAGACGATTCGAAACAGTCCCATGGTTAGAACCTGCACGACAACCTCGAGCAGAGACGACACGGGCGCGACCCCGCAGGTCACCGTCGCCAGCAGGAACCCGTCCAGCCCGATATAACTGAGGAAGCGTCCTCGCAGCGCGTCCCGCAGCAGCACGCGCGCGACGTGGTCCGGCGCGAAGACTCCGGACGTGTCCGATATCAGCAGCGTCTCCTTCGGCTTCCCCATCTCGAGCTCCTTCCGGAAGCCGGGCGTGTCCGTGTCGGGAGGGAAGCTGAGCGTCACGGCGACGCCGTATGGCTTCGCCTCCATCTGCAGCACTTCGGCGAAACCCCGCAGCGCGAACTTCGACGCGGAGTACGCCGCGTAGCCGTAGACGCCGAGCTGGCCGGCCTGCGAGGAGAGGAAGACAACGCGGCCTCCTCCGGCACGCTTCATCTCGGGTAGGACTGCCCTCGTCGCGTAGACGGCGCTCAGGTAGTTTGCCTCCATGAGCCGGCGGAAGTCGTCGACGGGCGTTTCGTCGAATCGCTCGCTGACGGACGCTCCCGCGGCGTTCACGAGCATGAACACGGGTCCGAGGATCTCTTCTGCTTGTCGGAACGCATGCTCAACCTGTCAAGGGGGCCATCACATATACTATCAATCGTGTAGATGCTATCAGGGGTAGATAAAGACAATCTGTCATTATCTACCCCTGATGCTATGGATATATCATGTGGGATTACAATGAATCGATGCATCTTGTGCGAATGATTTTGGCTATGTATTAAGACGTAGTTCCATAGCGCAAAAAATGCTTGTGCTCATGGGTACATCCTACCCTAGCTACTTCCTCATTTTTATAGAATGGTAACAACTCAAGTTGCTCTCGAGTTTCAGAAGATGCACTGACATTTTTAGTCGCCATGCCTGACCTTTAAATGATTAAAACTTTGGCATGCGGCAATGCCAAATATAAACACTATATTCTAGTATTAATATTATTGATACAACGCCCCACTTACGCATAAGTTGCTGCCATTTTACAAGTTTCATCAGGTGCTGAGAGAGAATGGAAATGTACAACGATTTGGTCATTTTAGATTAACAATTTTTATGTTTTCTATAAGCTTAAAATCCGAATTACGTTACCTGGTGGTAGTCTTTCGATAGATCGACCGAAACACAGACGATTCTCTGCTTCGGTGTGAGATATGGCTCGACTTCGCTTTTGGCTTCGGACAGGCGTTCTTGGTTTCTGGCCAGCAGGGTGAGCGAGGCACCAGCCTTGGCCGCTTCGATCGCCAAAAACTTACCGATACCACTTGATCCCCCAGTGATGAGCACATGCTTTCCATGCAGGCTGACAGGTTTAGACGACAGGATCCAATTGACAACTATCAGCAGTAGCACCGCTGCTACGAAACCAGCCAGGATTCCCAACATCACTGACCGCTGGTCGATATGCTGGCTTTAGTGAAATAACTATATGGTCCTAAATTTCTGAAAGAAAATCAGAGTTGATTTTATACGCTATCACAAGACAACAACATGTCTCAAGTAAAGAAACTTTACGAATAAGATGGACTCTACTCTAACAGTAGCCACAAGTTCCCATCTCGCTTAACACTACGCGTCGTGTAACAGTCGGAGAGCTAGATACAATAATGTAACCCAAACCCAAGAGGATAGGGGGGAATAGAACCCAAGAGGATAGGGGGGCTAGGGGGGAATGTAACCCCTATCCAGGTATACTCTTGGGTTTGGGTTACATTATTGTATCTATCGGAGAGCCTGCATGGTCTCTAACAGTAGGCTCTCCAACAGTTAGCCCGACCAGGCTGTGCGACGGATTGTCTATACTAACGGTATCCTAACCCTAGCGATACCGTTTCTTGGAGCTATCCAACAGTAGGAACTCTAGGAACAGTAACACTAACAGTAAAGAGTACAGTCATAAAGTAAGGGTGTAGAACATCGATCGACACGTCTTCTACGCTGAATAATTGTGTTTTTTTCATGCAGAGTTAAAACTGCCTACTCATGGTAGTGAGATATGCACCACGTGCACAATTAACATAGTTATATTATTACCTGGTATCGTACACTAGAGTATCCACTTTACGCGTCTATATTACATTTGTAGAGCCTGGCTTCAAATTTTCGATGCTCGGTGGAACAACTTTACCGGTGCACAGCGCCACCTCTCGGTTCCTTTATGAGTTCCAAATCGGATATGATAACCTCAGGAGTGGATCATAGAGAATCTCTATTATCCACTCCTGATAACCTCATAACCTCAAATATTAGTCTTCAAAGGTCCTAGGAACTGTAACGAAGACGGGGAGAGAAGTGGATCAAATCGATAGATCAACACTATGAAAAAATGTTGCAAATTTGCAATTTACCAAAGATGAAGGAAGAGAATTCCAATACGGAATGACAGAAACAGAAGGTAGAGGATCCAGAAGATGGCACATGCCGAAACCAATGATCACGCTCAGCTGATCGAGTGCATCGAACAGGCGAAAAGGAAAGATAATGTATAGAAATCGCGGCATAATTACAAATTAAGTTTAACTCAGGAGGACAGATTCAGCTCATCCCAAGGCTCTCATAGACAACATCCCCTACGTACGGACAATTCCTCTGTCTGAAACGGATTCGCTCGAGCAACACGCGTTTCCAAACGCGACGCCAGGAGTTCAAGCAACTCTTACTCAAACGGGGATACGCCTGATAGTGATAGACAAGTCTATCCAAAGAGCTGCACAGTGCTCGCGCAATACCTTACTAGAACCCAAAACTAGGATCGCGAACACGCAAAAACGAATTCTCTTTAACATGGATTACAACCCCAGCAACCCGCCTATCAAACAGATCATCCTCATACACTGGCACCAGGGGCGTAGCTACGGGGAGCCTGGGGGGGGGGGGCACGAGCCCCCCCACAAATTTTCTGTGCCCCCCCAGGTGCCCCCCCCACTGAAAATTCATGCTT